GAGGAGGAGGAGGAGGAGGAGTAGGAGGAAGACGAGGAGGAAGAGTATAGTTCCCCCCCGTCGTGCGAGGGATATCCCCGCAGGGGCGCCTCCGCCTGCCGCCGAGCCGGGCGTGGAGGCGCGCGCCCCGGCGGCGAAGCCAGACCTCCCGGCTGTCCGGGGGGCGACGACGGCGGGGCGACGACGGCGGCGGTAGCGACGAGGACGACGACGGCCACGAGAACGGTGACAGCGACGCCGGCGACGGGAGGAGCGCACGCAACTTCACGGCGACGGGAGGAGGAGGAGGAGGAGGAGGAGGAGGAGGAGGAGGAGGAGGAGGAGGAGGAGGAGGAGAAGGAGGGGAGGAGGAAGGAGGGGGAGGGGGAGAGGAAGGAGGAGGAGGAGGAGGAGGGAGGAGGAGAGGAGGAGGAGGAGGAGGATGTTTATGGAGGAGGACGGCGACTTGCGCGAGGATTGGGGAGCAGGGCTCAGGAGCAGGGGTGCAGACGTCATCCCCCCTCCCCGGACATGTTCTGGGGCACAACGCCGAATCCAGCCATGGTCACGAGAAGAGAATCCCCGAAGGGCCAAAAAGACAAGAAGGCACTGACATGGATTGATCGTAATGAAGTTATGGCAAGGCTCTCACAAAGGCAAGGTACGGAGCTATGATTCGGCACTGACACAGATTGATCAGAATCAAGAAATTGGGATAGGATGGAAGAGAGGGGTAGGATGCGAGTGTGGCGCGAGAGAATCTAGCTTGTCGCCAATCCCTCTCCCCTCGCTCCTCCCTCCCTCCTGCTCCCTCCTCATCACCCTCGACCTCATTCCCTTTCCCCGTCTCACTTTCTTCTCCCTCCCCCCGTCCGCTCCTCCTCGCTCCTCTTCCACATCTCATCCACCTGCCCTATGCCTCCTGCTCATCCTGCTCACCCTGCTGCTCCTCCTCCTACTTGTCCTCGTCCTCCTCCTCCTCCTCCTCCTCCTCCTCCTCCTCCTCCTCCTCCTCCTCCTCCCCCCTCAACCGCTCGTCCTCGCTCCCCTTCTACATCTCATCCGCATTCCCTCCTCCTCCTCCTCCTCCTCCTCCTCCTCGTCCTCCTCCTCCGCCTGCACCCCTTCACATCCCTACCACGCCATCCTCCTTCCCCCCTGCGTAGTTACCCTTATCCTTCATCTCCTCCTCCTCCTCCTCCTTCTGGGCGCTTGGCGCTGATGACTATGGAGTCGTATACGACGCAGCCTCTCCTCATCCTTTCCTTCCTCCTCCTGATCTCCTGCCCGGATGGGCTGCTGCTGTGACTCCGTTGCCGCCGCTGTCGCCGCCGCCGCTGCCAGGCGGCCGCTGACGCTCGACATCGTCGCTGCCGAAGGGCCCCTCGGCCACGACGACCGAGACGACGACGACGACGCCGACGCCGGCACCGACGCCGACGACGACGACGACGACGACGACGACGACGACGACGACGACGACGACGACGACGACGACGACGACGGCGACGACGACGACGACGACGACGACGACGACGGCGGCTATGGCGACGACGACGGCGACGGCGACGGCGGCGGCGGCGGCGGAGGCGGCGGCGACCCGCCTCCGTGCGGTGCGCAGCAGCCTCTTCTCGAGGGCCTGGACCTGCTCCTGGGGGCCCCCCATGCCGCCGCGTTCGCAAGCCGGCGCTCGCGATGCGCCCGCCGCGCGTCGGGGAGGGGAGGGCACCAAGGAGGAAGAGGAGGGGGAGGAGGAGGAGGAGGAGGAGGAGGAGGAGGAGGAGGAGGAGGAGGAGGAGGAGGAGGAGGAGAGGAGGGAGGAGGAAGAGAGCGAGGAGGGGGAGAGAAGGGGAGGCGGAGGAGGGACGAGAGAGGAGGAGGAGGATGGCGGAGGAGGATGGAGGAGGAGGAGGATGGAGGAGGAGGGAGGAGGAGGAGGAGGAGGAGGAGGAGGAGGGGGACGGGTGGGGAGTGAGGGAGGAGGGAGGAGAGGAGGAGGAGGAGGAGGAGGAGGAGGAGGAGGAAGGAGGAGGAGAAGGAGGAGCAGGAGGAGGAGCTACCCTTCTTTCGTCTTCGCTTTTTGGGAGCCTCTCGGGTGGCCCACGTCGCCGCGGCTGGCTTCGCCTCGAAACTCTGGTCAGGACGCGCCCCAGGAGAGGCCCTGCGAGCGCCAGCCCTTCCTGGCGCGGGGGGAGGACAGGGGGGGAAGGAAGGGAGAGGGGAGGGAGAGGGAGAGAAGGGGAGGGAGCGGGAGGGTGGAGGGGGGGAGGGAGAGGGAGAGGAAGGGAGGGGGAGGGAGGGAGGGGGGGATGGGCAAGCTAGGTGCGCTCGCGTCATATCTGACGTCCTACCCCTCCCTTCCATCCGCTACCATGGCGTAGATCTCCTCTCTATTCGCACAGTCGGATGTCGAGCAGGGCAATGATCCCGAGAGGGTGCGCGGTGCATCGTAGAGCACAGTATAGCAGGGCGTAGAAGAGCACGGCAGAGCGTAGTATGTCATAGCATGGCGTGGCGTTGCGTAGTGAAGAATTGCATCACAAAGCAATGCAACGCAAAGAACGGCATCGCAGAGCGGCACAGAACAGAGCATGGCATAGCACTGCGTTGAAGATCAAAGCGTAGCATGGCACAGCATGGCGTGGCACTGCTTAGTCAAGCATTGCATATCCTAGCATTGCAGCTGCAGGCATGGCATCGCACAGCGGAGCACCACCTGGCATTGCATTGTATGCCGTGGCATGGTACTGGAAATAATGACGCCAACGCTGCAGCGGGAGCACGATTCGGAACGAGCGAAGCGCGGAAATGCGGCCAGCGCTGCAGCGGGAGAACGAGCGGAAGCGCCGAAATGAGGCCAGCGCTGCAGCGGGAGCACGATATGGAACGAGCGGAAGTCCGAGCATGCGGCCATCGCTTCAGCAGGAGCAATTAAAACCAAAACCAAACGAAAACCCAACTCCCGGGATTCCGGTGTAAAAAAAACAATATGCGGAAAAGGGGCCGAATATCTTCCGGACGTCATCAGGGGAGAAAGGAGAGTGGTATTCATATTGCGTGCGTAATTGTATAGAGAAGAGAGGGAGGGGGAGGGAGAGGGAGGAAGAAGGGAGCAGTGGGAAGGGGGAGGGATGGGGAAGGAGGGGGGGGGCGGGGATGGGGGAGGAGGATGGGGGAAGCAGAGGGGGGGAGGGATGGGGAGGGAGGGAAGGGGGGCGGGGAGGAGGGGGAGAGGGATGGGGAAGCAGATGGGGGGGGGACGGATGAAGGGGGGAGGGGGGGAATTGAGGTGGGGGGGGAGAGGCAAACGCCCCCTCGGGGTCGGAGGGGGACAAGGCAGGAGGGAGGAAGAGGGGGGGGCAGGGAGTAGAAGGGGGAAGGACGAGAAGAGGGAGGGAGGGAGGTGTTTCCCCCCGCGACCACAACTCGGCGATTGACTAGTGCCTCGCGACGGCGTTCCGTGCCTGGGCGACCAGGCCTTAAACCCTAGCCGAGACAACGTGGCCCGAGATAGCGACGGACCGCCGCCGCTCTAGGCCACCCGCCACTCGGGCCGGGGACACTGGAACCCAGCTCGACCATCGTGCGGGGCACGCGGTGAGGGAGGGGGGTGGGAAGCACGAGCGGGGGAAGCGAAGGAGGAGGAAGAGAGGAGGGGGAGGAGGAAGTGGAGGAGGAGGGGGAGGAGGAGGAGCAACAAAAGGAGGAAGAGGAGGAGGAGAAGGAGGAGGAGGAGGAGTGGGAGGAGGAGGAGGAGGAGAAGGAGGAAGAGGAGAAGGAGGAGGAACAAGAGGAGGGGGAGGAAAAGGAGGAGGAGGAGGAAAAGGAGGGATCAAAGTGGTGTGGTGGTGGTGGGGGGGGGGGGCAAATAACATCAAGCAAAAAACACGGGCCCTGAAATAAACAGGTGTCATGGACCCCTGGGGTCTTGCACAGAACCAGTTCTTCATCCAGAACACTTTTCCTGACGGCCCCAGAACCCGCGGAGAGCCTCAGGTTGAAAAACTTCAAAACCCGCTTCGCTAAGGGCGCCGCTTGCCTCGTGGCCAGGAACGAGGGGCGCCTCACGGGGGAGCTAACCGAAAGAAACGACTAAGACCCCCCCTTCGGGTGAGACGATAACACACCAAGCACCATGAAGGGTTATCCAGCACCCCAGCAACCCTCGAAAGTGGCGAGGAGGAGGAAGAGGAAGAGATCCCCTCCTCCTCTCGAGAGGAGGAGGAGGAGGAGGAGGAGGAGGAGGAGGAGGAGGAGGAGGAGGAGGAGGAGGACGAGGGAAGAAAACGAAACTGGGAAACGGGGAAGACGGAACCGGGAACCCGGGAACCCGGGAACCCAGCGTGCGACCAAAATCGGCGGGGCACTTTCGCCAAATCCTTCAACATCCGCGAGGACCCCTTTCAATGCAAGCACTGATTGGGAAATTACTACGATTACGGCGATTACCGTGATCGCTACTACTGCTACGAGTACTACTAGTACTACTAGGACTACCACTACTACCACTACTCCTACTACTACCACCACCACCACCATCACCACTACCACTATTACTACTACTACTACTACTACTACTACTACTACTACTACTACCACTACTACTACTACTACTACTACTACCACTACTACTACTACTACTACTACTACTACTACTACTACTACTACTACTACTACTACTACTACTACTACTAATACTACTACTACTACTACTACTTACTACTACTCTGACTTATACCACAACAACTACTACTACTACTACTACTACTCCTACTACTACTACTACTACTACTACTACTACTACTACTACTACTACTTCTACTACTACTACTACCAGTAGTACTTCTACTACTACCACCACTACCACGGAGATTACGACTACTAGTATGACTACTCCTATTCCTGGTAGTCGTACTAGTAGCACTAGTAGTAATCGTAGTGCTTGTGGTAGTAGTCGTACTACTACTACTACTACTACTACTACTACTACGACGACTACTACTACTGCACTGCTACTACTACAACGACAGCGGCGACGACTACGTCTTG